AATATGAATGGGTATAATGACATTTCTATTAACTGTGGCACCTGTACAAAGCAGATAAGGAATCAGTATGCAGCCTTAGAGTGTATCTTGATTTTTAACTCAGCCATAAGTGAGCATTTTGCAGTTTGATTTCAGATGGCATGGCTTGTTTTAAAGTACAGCATTTCGTCTGTATTCTTCTGATTTTCTCAAAGTACTGAGGATACATGCAGAGCCAAGAAAGGCATGGAAGAGGTAGACCAAAGACCATGACATTACCAGCCTAAGAGAGCTAATTTTTATTCCTTTATTTGTCCAACTCATTCTTAGGTAGTTTCTGCTGTGTTCCAAGCACTGTGCTAAACCCTCAAGATCTAATGGTGAAAAGATTGACCATTTTGCCCTCACAGAAATTACAGTTTAGTGAAGGATAAAGACAAGTGAAAGGGCAATTAAAATGCAAAGGAATACCAGCTACATAAGGGCAGTGCTGTGCAGAGTGCTTTGGAATATATGAAAAGCAATGGACCTGAATTTGGAGATTGGAGGTGAGGGTATGAAACGGCAGCTAAAGCCAAGAGCAGGATGAGGAGGAATTGGCCAGGTGGATGTGGGTGGAAGAGGCAGAGATTTTTCAGGGCAAAGAGATATGGTGCATCTGAGGAACTTAAGTTTAGTACGGCTACTAAAGTAATGGGGGTGAAAGATAAATCTAAATTATGCAGGACTTTATAAGTCTTATTTAGGAGTTTAAAAAATGAGAACATATTGAAAGATTTTATGCATAGAAATGTTACAGCCAATTTCATTTTTTAAAAGATCACTGGCTACAGGATAGAAAGTGAATTGGAGGGAAGAATACGCTTAAAATCAGAGCAACCTGTTGAGAGGACTTTATACCAATTCAGGCTAAGATGACAGCGGTCTGGAGACATCCGTGATAGTTGGAATAGAAGGAAATGAAGAACCTGAGAGTTTGTAGAAAGTAGAATGCATGGTTTTGGCCTTGTAAAGGATTCTAACTGGTGGGTTGTTAAAGTCAGGGTCTCAATAAAGAAGTTTGAAGGCATCCCTATAGGAAGACATTATTATGCTAATTTTATTATTATCCATGAAGATTGCCACTTCATGATTTCCTTTCTTTTCCTTTCAAACCAGTCATTAAAGCGCCAACAATTGAAGCTTGAAGAGTTAGTTCATTTCCCTCCCCGTTCTTCAGTCCCATAAAATCACTCATTGGGGCACAGTATCATTTCCTTCTTTTCCACCTTGACTCTTCTGCTCATTGACACCTAGGGGCCTGAACAGGGTTCTATCCCATAGCGTTTTGTTTGTTTGTTTGTTTGTTTTCAAGATTTTTTAATTGGGGGGTTGGGGGATGGGAACAGTGCTGGAGAATTGGGGGAAGGGGAACAGACAAGTTGCTGTCGTTTTGTTCTTCAGTCTAGTTGTGGAGGGTGTTGCTTCACTGGCTCAAGTTGGCACCATCATTGCGCTCTTCCCAGGTGAGGCAGATCAGTCACCGCTTCTAGACAGCCGCTCACAGCGGCTGCTGGCCACTCACACTGGCTGCTGGCTACACACAGTAGCCCATGGCAACCCAGTGAAGCAGGGGCTGCAGCTTACCCTGATGCTGGCGACTCATGGCAGCCCAGCTCCAGGCTGAGCTGTTGTTCAGCATCTTAGCTGTAGAGGGCAGTGTCACTGGCCCTCATATGTGGGATCTGAACCGAGGCCTCTGGCGTCCCAAGCCAGCTCTTAACCAATGCGCCATTCAGCCAGCCCATCTATCCCATAGCATTTTGCTCTCGACCAACTGAAAAACATGATACAACCTCATAAATTAATCCTCCATTTAGTGTTAACAAATAATGCCTTCTCAGGCAGTAATCCTCCTATTAGCTATTTGCATTTTAATAGAAGAGTAGTTAGTACCTGTGGCCTAATGACCTTAAAAATTAATCTCTAGTAATAAAATTCCTATCACCATTTAAACAAATGGGAAAAATATTAAGGGAGAACATAGAAGTGTTTCTGGTGGCTTTTGGATAACATTATTATTTGGTTAACTTTCCCACCCTAGACATCAAAAAAGGCCTACAAAGAAACAGCAACCAAAAAAAATGTGAAGAAACCCTGAGTTCCCAGAAATCTTTGTTAAATCACAATTTAGTAAGCCCCAGCTTAGCTGAGCTCACTTGAGTTTCCTAGAATGCCATTTTGAAATCACTAGCAAGAGCCAGTGGCCATGTATTTAAGGTAGAAAGTGGAGAGCTTTCAAAATAATAGATCTTCCCACTCAAAGTGCAGTCTACACAGCAGCCACTCTTTAATTCATCATAGTCTTGTAGCAAGATTACTGATTATAAAGTCTTGAAATGAATATCCAGGGATAGAGAAAGAATCAGTATTTCTTTAATGATTTAGGGATTATTGGCCATTCATTTTCCACTGTTTGTAATTGAAGTCTTGAAATAATGGAATTTATCAGAGAAATGCCTCATTCACCCTTGTGTAATTTGAACATACTAAAATGGCACATGTGGACTCATAAATCGTTTGTGTGCACAAAGGGTAATATATCACTCCACCCCTCATTCAGTCAGTGCTGGGTGGAGGAAAGGCATGGAAGCATGAGTTATAGCTTACTAGACAGAATCCCATAACTTTACATCTTACATTTCCAGAAGCCTTTTTTTAATGTAACCTCATATTATTTATACTTGCTGGTCATTCATGATAAAAGACACTTTATCATGAGTTTTTTTATCAAGGTTTTTATTACTATTTATTTATCAAAATATTCACAAATGTTTTTGACAAAATCACTTTCAGGCAGTCAAAAATTATTGTCATAAGCTTGGAGCAATGGGCCCTATTGACTACATAGTGTTGAATTAGGCTTATAATCATTAATACGCCAACCAGAAATGATAAATATGCTAAAATCGAATTGCTTCTTTGTAGACTAGATTTATGTTTAAAGCAAAGACAGTGTAACTTTTTCTTATTAAACCTGCAACAAGAAATTCAATTATTTTAAACACTGAAGAGTACAGATATTGTATTATAAAGACAAACATATGCTTTGAAGCATCAATTTTCTAGAACTAATTCTTTTTGCTATTAAAATATCTTCTTACTCTTTTGTATGCTGATTGAAATCTTAATCCACAGGGATTAACTATATATACACACACATATATATATATACATATATATATATATATATATATATATATGTATATATATATTTTTTTTTTTAGCCTGGAATTCTAGAATTTTCTGTTACAGGAAATGTTTGTGAAATATCACACAAACTATATGTATATCAGTTAAATTCTCATGAAAAATTATCTATTTTATATGGTTTACACTGAGGTTCATTACATGTGTTTAGATTTTCCATTTTATTTTCAAGATCTTTTAGATCCTGGCTACTCAAACTGTTGTCCTTGGACCAGCAGTATCAATGTATCTCGGAAGCTTGTTAGAAATGCAGATTCTCAGGTCCTACCCCCCCAAACTATTCCACCCCCACCACTACAGCATCAGAAACTGCATTTTCACAACATCCCTACGTGATATGTGTATACACTAAAGTTTGAGAAGCCCTGCTCTAGATAGTTGCTGGATGGCAGATGATATTTTGAAGGAGACAAGAATCATTAGTGAATGTGAACAGGTTACTTAAGAGGCAAAATAATAGTATCATATTAACTAACATTTTTGAGGATTTAATGTGTTCTAGGGCATCATATTAGCTTGTTGCTTTTTTTATGCATTCTCTCATTTGCACAAAAAGAGAAGACTCTTTTTCTGAGGATGGAGACGTGACTTGGTAAATGGAGAAGCTGAGGAATATTCTAGGTAGTTATCAAGCCAGGAGAAAAGGGCTAAATCTAGAGTAGAAGTATTCATGGAAGAATAGGTATTGTTTACATATGTGAAGAGTATAGACTGGAGCCGAGATAATGGTGATGGGAATGCCTTCGAAATGATGAGAAAAAAAATGTTGCCTAGGAGGCACTAAACAATTTCCATTAGTGTCATTAGAAGTCACTACTGTAATCCCACTTCTCTGGAAGTAAATATAAAATAGCAGGTTATCTAGGTAGTAATATTGATAAGAATTGTATTATATAGATACCTATTGCTGCATAGCAAATTACCCCAAAATTTAGCAGCTTAAAACAACAAACATTTATTATTTCACAGTAGGTCAGGAATCCAGGTTTGGTTTAGCTAAGTGCCTGGGGCTCAAGGCGTTTCATGAGATTGCCATCAAGCGGTTGACTGGGGCTGTGATCTCATCCAAAGGCTCTGCTCAGGTAGATTCATTCAAAAGGTGCTAACTGGCTCCACTTCCTCACCACGTGGGCCTTTCCACAGGCCACCTTATGACATAGCAGCTAGCTTTCCACAGAGTAAGGAATCCAAAAGAGCTTGAGATAGAACATGCCCCAAATGGAAGCCATGGTCTTTTTATAACCTAATCTTGGAAGTGACAATCCATTACTTCTGCCATATTCTATTCATTAGAAAGAAAGTCAGTAAGTCCAGCCCATGCTAAAGGGAGATGATTACAGACAAGTGTGAATACGAGGAGGTGGTCATCACTGCAGGCTGACCACAGTTGGTTTTGTTTCATTTTGTTTCATTTTGTTTTTAAATCTAGCTTCCATATTTTCTATTTTGGACATGTGCTACCTGTGTGATAAGGAAATAAAAATGTTAAAGCCAATAAAATTAAAGAGAAAATACTCTTTTATCAGAAAAGTCACTCTTCTTTGGAGCTTTCTTAGTAAGACAATTGAATTGACCGAAGACAGGATTTATGAATGACCTTCCTGGCCACATATTAAATCATGTTATGAATCCAAGTCTGGGATCATTAATCTAACAGGGTTTTGTATAGCTTTCAAATTTTTGCATTGAAAAACTGAAATAGCAAACCCCCCAAGTGGTATGATGAATACATCAATCTTTCTCTAACAGTCTCCTTGCTCTGTGTTCAATAGTATGCTTGAGAGTTCAAACCGGCTTGATGAAGAACACAGGCTGATCGCCAGGTATGCGGCAAGACTGGCAGCAGAGTCCACTTCATCTGTAAGTAGTTTGAGTGAGAGAATATCATCATATTCATTGTTATCCTTATAGTTGGTGCTACAACAGCAGACCTCAAGAGTTGCTACTGTGTCTGTGAGACCTAAAAATGGTCTGGCCTTCCACTGCTTCCATTTTCCCCATTTTGAGCTACCATTCTGGTACGGCATAAATCATAGCTTGAAATATTATTTTACTTTGCTGAACCAGCCTAAAACCTGATTTCTCTGGATAATTTTTGATCAGTTAATATAAAAAGTAAAGCAATGACTCAAATCCACAGCTGGCTTAGATAGGTTTCTATTTTTATCACTATGTAAAATATTGGGTTGTCGGAAAAGTCATGACGTATTTTTTCTATGTTTTTTGTTGCAAAAAATGCGTCATGACTTTTCCAACAACCCAATATATACAAGAAAGAGAAAATTATGTAATGAAATCAGGAGAAAAACCTGGGTCACAGGTCAAAGCTGCCATATGCCAGACTTAGCTATGGACAGTCAGTTAGGATATAAAATATAGGAGCGCAACCTTCTTTTAGCAACACAAATAATTTCTCTCTTAAAAGAAATGCTAATTAAAAATTAGAGAAGAGCTTTATGAAAGCCAGAACTTTACCACACTTAATACTTCCTACAATCATGTTTCTGGACATTAAAAAGCAGGCTCAGTTTCTCCATGTCTTTGGTAAGCCCAAAGCTCCATTTTCAAAAGCAAGGCACAGGGAAGTATATATGATCTGACCCTGTTTTATAGAACAATGACAAATTAACCTACACACACACACACACACACACACACACACACACATATATATATATATATATACATATAAATAAATATGGTATGTTATTATGTGTATATACATGTATATTTGTGCATATAAACATATAATCGTATACCATATTTATATATGTGTATGTGTATTTAATCAAGGACTAATTTATATATTATATATAATTTGTTAAGACTTAATTTTTATGTATGTGTGTGTATATATATAAGAAAGGAGAAAGCTATGACTGCACATATACCAGTTGTTAAAGCTGGTTGCAGGAACAAGAATGATGAGGTAATGTGGTATAAAATTAAAGAATATATATATATATAAAATAAATTACATAAATAAATAAAGAAATGCTGACCAATAAATATAAATACAATAAATATAAAAACAAAAATAAATACAACAATAAAGAAATGTTGACCAAAAGAAGAAAGTCATACTACATATGACTTTAAAACTATGAAATTTTTAATTGTTCATTACAATAATTGAACAGTAATTCTAGAGAAGGCATTATCTCAACAGTGAAATATTTTTCATACCCGCCTATAGTGAGAGGATAGTTGCAATGGGGACAGACAGCATGGCAAGAATGAAATAGCTCCCCAAAGACTTCAAGTCAGAAAGCTAAAAAACAATTTTTTTCTGTGTTTTGTGTATTTGCCTGCCAAAGAATTCTGTTCTGCTTTCCATCGCATAAATATGCTCCAGATACACAGAAAAGTTGATCTTTAGGAGAAGCATGGCAATTTAATTTTATGTATTTGGGTTTTTTTACTTTATGATAAATAGTTTCTTATTTCTTGTGTGCATATCTCATTATTCCTGTCTCCTCAAACACATGTGGGTTCCCATTCCCAATATTAAGTAGCATAAACCACATGTTTTACAGCAGCCAACTCAGCAGAGAAGTGCTCCTGACATCTCCTTCACCATTGATGCAAATAAGCAGCAAAGGCAGCTGATCGCAGAACTAGAAAACAAGAACAGGTATGGCTTTTTAGACGAGTTGGCTTTTTCCATCAAAGTGTGCATTCACTGATAACCTATAGTCATACTTTAAAATATCCAGGTTTTTCACCTTATGTGCATATTTAAAGGGTGACATCTGGAGCCAGTGATGCTGGCTTCTGAGCTAGTCTTTAGATTTTAGGTCTTCATGAGAAAACATTTATAGTTCTGAGATGTCCGTGAAATTAGTGCTTTCTCTCTAGATAGCCTCATTTACCTTTCTCTGACACACATATTTCCATTAAAGAGCTGTCTCATGCAGAAGGGCTTTCCTGAGTAACAGGAGGAAATTATCTATGCCACCAAGAGACAAACAGAAGGCTCTCCAGAGCAGGTCCCTGCAAGGACCGCAGGCTAAAAAAGGCATTGGGCTAATACTACCATCACCCAGGTGTTCAGGCAAAACATCTCCACATCCAGTCTATCAGCAGGTCTTTTCATTATTCAACACAGATTAAGTCATAGTTTACCCCACAGCGTATCCCCAAAATTGTCCACTTCATCTCCACCATTACCACTCAATCCAACCTGTCATTTTACAAAACATAAATCATACTCTGTGATTTTCTGTCCAAAATCCTCTGATGGCTTTCCATCACACTTTGACTAAAACCCATCCCTTTTACCATCGTTTACAAAATCTTACCTGACCCTCTTCCTGCCTTACCTTTCCAGCCCCAGCCCACCTTCTTCACTGCACTTCCTCCTGCTCCTTTCTTTCTTTATAGCCTTTGTATTAATTGTCCTCTCTGCTTAGAAAGCTCTTCCTTGGGGTCTCTGCATGGATGGCTCCTTCTCATCATTCAGTTCTCAGCACAAAAAACCACCTATCTTATCTTGCCCACTACCCCCTACCCCAGGAACCACTCTGTATTACAGCCCCATCTGATTGTGTGTGTGTGTGTGTGTGTGTGTGTGTGTGTGTGACTTATCACTATCTAAAATGTTTGCATTTATGTGTTTGTTTCCTTTATGCATTTGTTGCATTATGTGTTTGTTTATTGTCTGTCTTCCCTGACTGAAATGGAAGTTCTTTGAGAACAGAGGCCATGCCAAAAGGTCCCTGGGTTCCAGAACCATGTCTGGTACCTTGTAGAAGCCAGTAAATAAATAGAGAGAAAATAATAAATACCTGAGTAAGATCTCAAACTCAATGCTGAGAAAGCCCAACATAGGAACAACTTTACATTCTCTATTTCTTAGAATACCACCAAAATGACTTAACAGTCAAACCCATTCTTAAACACTGATGTCATTTCTGAGATCAAACTGGTGAAGGTGGATGTTGTCATAATTGTTTCATACCTGTAGAGTTTGACCTGAGAATGTCAGGTTTGGTCAAAGTATTCTTTAAAGCTCTACAGAAAAAATTAAAAGGAAGAAACAAATTTGGTTGGTATATTTTCAGATTCTTAGAAAGTAAAAAGACTAAAGTGAAAACTCACAAGCCCACACATAGTTTACCTTGGTTGCAGTGTTAACCTAGTCTCTCAACTCTCCAAAGCACTTTGTTTTCCCGTTCAAGCCTCTGCTTCCACTCAGCACGGAGAGAGCATACTTGAGGGGAAATTGGTGCTTTCTTTAAGGAAATACCCCAAGGAGACCTGCCTCTATGTGGGGTTCCAGGATAGGCAGGAAGCACCACGAAGGTCCTAGTAGCCCTGGATGTGCCATGCTGCCACTGTCCCTGCTTGTTTCTAGGATGTTTTTGTATTCTACTCCCTGAATGTATCTTTTCAGGACCAGCAAGAGAATAAAGAAATGGGAATGAGAGGACAGAAAGAGAGCTCCGTCTTGTCCCTGAATTCTTTCATGGCCCCTAGATTTCCCCACCCATGCTAATGAGCATCTAGTCTATCCTGAACTCTCTAAGCCAGTGGTCTGTGCACTCCAAAGACCCCAGAACTGTGTCCCGGAAGGTTATCCAGGTCACACTTCTGTACCATAGAAATTTAGCCCAGGGGTCCCATGGTCTCCAAGGCTATAATTAACACAATAGCCAGATCTCTGAGCTTCAGGAGAGGATAGAGTTTCTCACTACCCTAGGTAATTCATGGACATTCCATCCACAAATCTCTAGAAGATAATTCTTCCTATAGCACCCTTAGAGGAGCCATTTGGGGTTAGTATTAGCAGTAGCAGGACTCTTCAAATTACACTGTATGAATCACAGCCTGCTTACACTTGACCTGTTAAAGCAAGTACCAAAGACTGAGGGAGTCTGATATATATGGGCTTTAGAGCTAACAAGCCTGGGTTCAAATTGCTTCTACCACTTACATGTTATTGAACTTAGGCAAGTCTTGAACTGGGCTGGACTTTGATTTTCTCACTCATTAAACAGATAATAGTAGTACCTGTAGATAATGGAATTGCATGAGGATTCAATAAAATAAGATTAAAGACAGCACAGTTCCTGGATATAGACTAAGCATTGAATGCTAGTTACATATCTTCCCATTATTTTTTTCTTATTAGAGCTGCTTGCTCCTTGAGCTACATGGCTCTGTCATGGTTCTCTCCTTAGAACCAACAAGAAGCACTAGTGGGGGTCATAGAATATCAAGATGTTAGCCCTGGAGGAGATCTTCAAAGTCCCAGTACACTGATTTTTCAGACTGAGCTCTATGGGAAATGGGGACTTTTTTTTGGGGGGGGGCAGCTAGGAGCACAGGGGCCCACCCTATCTTTAACCAGATCATCTCTCTCTTAACTGTTTGTCATATAGGGTTTCCATGGAAGGTTTCTTTTAAAGAAAAGTTTTCACCATGGAATACCAAGGGGAATTAAAAAAAAAAAAAGTTGAAACCACTGAAGGTTGAAACCAACCTTCTCACTACACTCATGAGATATGTAGTGACTGGTAATTAGCTTCTTGATGCTGATGTATATATGAAGCAGGCAGTTGTAAATTATCCTTTCAAGTGGAAAACTATCCCCCTTGCTCACCAAGTTCACCTTCCATTCTTGGTGCTTTGTTCTGTCTTATTGGCTCTTGTGCATTTTGTTGGATGGGAGACTGACCCCTCCCCAAGGAATACATGACTTGTAACCTTGCTTAATGGCTTCTAACTCACTTAGGGATAATTTGCCTTACACAGGTCACCTATCCTTGATGGCCAGCATAATGTTCACCTCAGTGCAGGGCAGCCCAGACCCCAACGTCTATAATAGACTGACGTGCCTCATCCCTGACAGAGGTCACACCAAGAGCACTCTTAGGTCACAGACTCAATTACAGTGAATCCTTTTAAAAGCACTTCTCTTCTAAGGCTCCTCTCATTGAAGATCCATTTTTAAGGCTGAAAATGTTAAGAAAAAAGACAAAGAATTTTGCCTAACCGTGGCCTTCTCAGATAAATTGAGTGAGAGGAATTTCATTCCTGATGAGAGAATGGGGTTATTTAGTTTTGTGAAATGAGCACCATTTATCCTTATTTTCCCTCCAAGCACCTCTTACTTGGTAGCTGCAGTTCCTTTATGGTGTCAGGCTGTGATCATAAATAATAGGAAGATACATTTCTGTCTCTTAAGCAGTACACTTTTCAAAGTTGAACATGTTACCACGGCATCATATTACTTACTAGAGAGAGACTAGTTGGTCCTGGTGAGAACACTCAGCTTGAAGGCTCCAACGACATACTGCAGCATCCTCATGGGTCATATGTACTGGAGATGAAGTCAGAATCCTCTCACCACAGCACCCAACTAGCTACAGCCAATGCCTTATAAACACTGTTGGTTTAGTGAGGGTCAGTTCTGCTCAGAAACATAGGATGATCCCTTCTTTGCTCTGGTGGCTCTGATCTGCTCGGATGTTAGATCCTGGATATCCTGGAAGTTAACTGACCCTGGTTTCTTATCTTCCTCCTCTCTCCTAAGAGAAATCTTACAGGAGATTCAGAGGCTGCGGCTAGAGCATGAGCAAGCTTCTCAGCCCACTCCAGAGAAGGCACAGCAAAACCCCACTCTGCTGGCAGAGCTCCGGCTCCTCAGGTAAGAGAGGGAGCCCATGGTGTCTCAGGGAACACAGAGGCTTGAGGTCTTCAATAATATCTAACAGTGTCCAGTCAGAAACCGGTTCTTAGCCAGCTCCTGATTTTTTTTTTTAACAGCACACACCTAATTGCTGAGATGTGAGGGTTTGGAGGAGAGACCATTTATATTTTATTCTTTCATTTGATAGAAAGAAAAGGAAACAGAGTTCTTTAGGTCAGAAACAAAATCTCTCACTGGAAAAAATTCAACTCAACTCTTTTTAGTTAATTTGCATCATCAAGAATATGTTTATGATACAAGTGATCAACAAAACACATAAACAGATAAATGAACATCATAGGTTTTACATTTAAAAATGTATCTGTAACTCATAAAAGTTAAAGATAAAACTGGTGTAACTCATAAAAGGGAGTCTGAGTTTCTCTAAATCTTAGTCCCTAATAGCTTTACTTATAGATCTTAAAAATTAGATTTCATACCTTCTTGTTCTGCAAATGAATTTAAAGACCTGGTGTTATCTACTCTGTCATCATAAAATATTTGAGTTGGGAAGGACCTTGGAAGGTTATCTGGTTCAACCCCTGAATTTCAGTGCACTTTTCAGAGTCAGAAAGGTAGAAGGTAGCAGGACACAGATGAGGACTGGAGCGGCTCCCCCTGCACCCACGCGCAAGAGGAAGGTCATGCCATGGGCTCCACGTCAAACTGGCTTCCCACCATGCCGTGAATATGGCACATGCTCAAACCTATTTGAGTAGCAAACAAAACAAACATAAATTCAAAGACATTCCCTCATATTTCACAAGGCACTTGGAGTTAGCAAGCATAGCACCCTTCCCATCTTTTGGTTTGGGTACCCAGTACACTCAGGTATATCTAACTCTGAGGCATACATCTTAAGAACAGTCATGGGCAGCATAACAACATTTCAGTGGAGGATGGATCGCATATACGACAGTGGTTCCGTGGAGCTAAAAAAAATTCCTATTGCCTAGTGATGTCGTAGTCATCATAATGTCATAGGACAATGCATTCCTCACATGTTTGTGGTGATGCTGGTGTACGCAAACCTACTGCTCTGCTAGTCATATAAAAGTATAGTACATACAATTATGTACAGAACATAATGTTTGATAATGAGAATAAATGACTATAGCACTCATTTGTGTATTTCCTATACTATACTTTTTATCATTATTTTAGAGTGTACTTTTTCTACTTATAAAAAAATTTGCTGTAAAGCAGTATGCCGTATTACACCAGCAGCCTCACACATCTCATGTTTACTGCATCTCTTGATTGTTTCATTTTCTACTGTGCTTGATTTAATCCTGTTTTGTACAGTGACATGCTGTACAGATCCATAGCCTAGGAGTAATAGGTGTGTAGCAAGCTACACCATATAGGCATGTGTCTATGATATTCACACAATGACAGAATTGCCTAATGACACATTTTTGAGAACACACACATCCCCATTGTTAACTGGGGCATGACTATATAGATACCTCTTCTCAGAAACCCTTGTCAGAATTAGAGTGCCATTTACTTTCTCCATACAAAGAGACTAAACTAGGCAGGTTCTGTATGGCTATGTTTGGAGTTTACCGAGTCCCTACTGATTGTAGTCATGGACATTTCTGGGGGTTCCATTCCAGCCCTGTTCTTCAGATATGTTAACCTCTGAGCACACCTGGCTGCAGCACACCTGGCCTAGGCTATAGGCCTTGCCTGCTCTCAGCTGGGATCCAATCTCCTTAGGCCCATGCACCTGGCTGGAGGGGCCAACCCACCAAAGGCTTGAGTTATGGAAAGGAAATCTACAGAGCCTGCAACCGGTGGGGGCTGCTTGAGGTGAAAAGATCACATCATACTTTAGAATAACAAAATAATTTAATAGAAGAAAAAGAAATTCTTCTTTTTCAACCTATATGATTTCTGATCCTACCTTCAGAGAGATGTGTTAGAAATCTTTGCACCTTCTACTATACCATCACCCAAAAGCGATGAAAATGAAAAGAAGGGAAAAGTGATGTTTCATGTTCATCCTCCTCCTCAAAGGCACGTAAAAGTAAATGACTGCTTGAAAGTATCTTTCACCAAATAGGATTATGTAGTCCCTTCAAGCTCACAAGTTGAAAATTAAGTCTAATATATATAGAAATATAACTGAATAAACCAACTTGGAAACAGTAGTCATTCAACTACACATCAGACTACCTTGTCTCTGCCTGAAATGTTCTTTATATTAATACCTCTCCCACTGGTCATCCCATTCTCTAGTGGAGGAATGATGACTAGGAATTTTTCGTAAGTATTTTCACCAGTGCCCACCAGTTAGCATTTGCTTTACAAAGTATTTGGCTCCATTTGGATAATACAGTCTGGGAAGAGATCTTGACGTGCCTGGGTCACTGATGATTAGTTTTCATACTGCTATTTCTTCTCTCCTTGACGTTGCTGTCTTGGAACAGACTGATAATTCTAATCATCTTCTGGCCCTGAATTGTGGGCATTCCCATGGCCCAGCTGAACCCAAAGCTACACTAAGGAGTCTGGTTTTGCAGGAATTTATATATTTTGGGTCTTCACTGTCAGCTGGTGGCCCAACCTGAGGCTTAAGGCCTGAGGCTGAGACACCTAAATTCGAGATGATTTGCTTGCCTGCCTCCTTACTCTACACATTTTTTCTGCCTGGAAGAAAAATACCCTCCCTTTAAGGGTATTTCGCTAGATACTTACAAACCACTTATTCTGTGCTAAGCACTTTCACAATTTGTGGATTTCACAGATACCCTGACATCCCAGGTTAAGAAACCCAGCTCTGGGTGTTCCAAATTTGATTCTTTAGTCATTTCATACATTTGAAAGGACTCCAAAACATGGCCTCTTGTACAGTTACTTTGGCCTTAGTTCACATTGAGGAATCGCCATATGAAACAGCCAAGGAACACCTTATTGTAGCTTTGAAAGAAGTCTTACCTGAAACTAATAAAAAAAAAAATAGAAGTTGGGAGAGAAAAAAAAGAAAAGAAAAAGAAATGTAACACAAAAAAGATGTTTATAATTGATTAAAATATATATTTTATGCAAACTTTAGCTAAAAGATATATATGCCAATATATTTGACAATTTGAATGATTGCAAACAAACAAACAAACAAACCCAGAAATCATGTCCATTCAAAATATTCCTCCTGCAACTATTTAGCTTCAAAAATCATCAGGTTATAGGAGGAGACAGCTATTTTTCATGACTCAGAAACCCTAGGACTTTTCAACATAAGTACATGGTTTGTTTATAAGATACTCCACATCTGCATGAAAAATATGACACTGAACATCACCCAGCTGTTTCGAAAAGTCCAGATGCTCTGGAATCATCCACCCGTGTGTCGTGCACGTGGAAAGTGCCAAATAATGATTTGAGTGAGCAGCACTGTACTGCACGGGGGTAAAGAGAGACATCAACATTTGTTAGAGGATAAAATGAGTTCATCTGGTATATGCACGAGAATGTGTGCATATGGACAAAAAAAAAAGGAAAAACAAAGATAGTAAATAAAAAAGAAAGAAAGAAAGGGAAAGAAAGAGAGAGCAAGAAAGAAGTCTTCTCCTTCCATTACACCCTTCCCAGGGCCTCTTGTTGAGAAACCAAAAGAAGGAATTTCTTTTAGCTCAAGGACAGGAAAAGGGAGAAGGATGCAGAGCTTTGCTTTTTATGAACCCATAGTTTATTTTTATCTTAAGAGCATTATGACCTTTCTAAATGATCATATTTTCCTTTTCACTTTAGCCACAAGGAAGTTGAAAGCAGCTTTGCAACCCCGATCTGGCTACTGACTGGGATTATATGATAGGCATGTCTGTGGGCTACCCTGACACTTCCTATGCACTGAGCTCTACACACCTTGTCCCATATAATTGCTATAACAAACCTGGGAGATGGATGCTATTATACTCTTTTTATAGATACAGAAACTGAGGTTCCCAGAAGTTTAATAATTTGACCAATATCCTGCACAATGTGTAGCACAGGTGGATTCCATGTCCTTTTCTTAGGTCTTAATTACGTATTTCCTGCCTGAACTATTATAATGAGCACTTAATTGATTCCCAGGTTCTGGGGCATCTACACTGCTATCAGAATTATCTTTCTTCATTTTAATATTCATTTAATTCATTCAACAAATATTTCTAAAATGCAGTGTGCCCAGAACTTTTCTGAGAATTGTAATACTATGTTGAGTTGGAAAAGATACACTCCCTGGTCTCACAGAATTTGTGGTCTAGTTGGAAAATGACATAAATCAAATAATCACACAAATAAGAATATAATTATAAACTAAGATAGATAAGTGCTATAAGGACTCTTCCTTTGAAAAAAATTATCAAACCAGCCCTTCACTAGAGTCAGAAAAGGCTATCATGAGGAAGAATTGTTTGAGTTGAAATATGAAGGGCGGGGCATAGGGAATAGGGATTAAGGATGGAGGAAGGGGCTGAGACAGCTGAAGAAAGGGTCCTCCTGGAAGGCAGAGACTATGTGTACAAAGACCAAATGGCAGAAATGAAGCTGGCACTTTTTTAGAAACTACAAGGTCCGTAGATCTAAAATGCAGTGAATGAAGGGGTAAAAGATGGAGCTGAAGATGTAGATCGAGATAGACCATGATTCTGTGGCCTTTCAGACCACGAAGATATTGCTATTAATCCTATAACAGGAAGCCATTGAAGGATCCGAGTTACATTTTGAGCTAACACACTGGATTAGATTGTCAAGTCACACTCACGTGAGCCAGAGATCTTACCCCAGTATTGAGCCTTACTAATAATTTCAAGAGTACAGGCCATCAGGAGGCACGATGAAGCAGAGAAAGGCCTGACACATTCCATATGGTTCCTCAGGGTCTTTCCTTCCCATTTTGGATGTAGCTTCCGAGAGAAATTGTGCAAAGTGAACTAGTGAGCTTTCCCTGACCTCCTACAACCATATAGAAGTGGCCACCTTCTTCTCAGTGTTACCACATACAGCACTTTGTTTTTATTTTTTTTATATACTCACCATCGTTGTTTTGAACTTTTTTCTGTCTGTTTTCTTCTCACTGAAGGACACAAACTGTATGCTACTCATTATTTATTTACAGTATCTTAAAACAAAAGTACTGAATAGCTTGAATGGATAAACTGTAAAACCATTAAAAGACAGTTAAACTGTGCAAAGACAATACCATCTTCTATAATGAAGAAAATATTTCTTAAAACTATGATGCAAATACCTTCACACTATAAATCTCAAGAAAAAACAAGTATCATTTTCCATGTCTATCGCTTGCCTAAAAAATAAGCGTCATATTCTATGCCCCCCAAATTGCACTCTTTTCAATGTATATAAAATTATTCTTTGCAATAAATTGTTAATATAATGTGACTCTTTTTGTTTTACCAATTGTACTCTCTGATGCAAATCTATGCTTTCCAGACTTGAATTTCATAGACCAGTTTAGTTTTTTAATTATTTGGGGAAGCAACATAAACTTGAGTACTTTTTGTGTTACCATATACTGACATTTTTTAAAACCTACCATCATCTGTTGTTATAACAGTTTCATGAATGATATATATGTTTTAAATTTTATTTTGAACAAACTTTATGCCTACAGAAGAGTTGTAAGAATATCGCAATGAATTTCCTTTTATGCTTCACCTAGAGATTGCAAACTTTTTGCCACATCCTTCTCTATCCCCTTATATATGTTATATATGTATATATTTACATATATAATATATATATTACATATACATTTTTGATGAGCCATTTGAAAGTTGCAGACATCATAATCCTTTGCCCCTAAGTTCTTATGAGTATATTTTCTAATAAAAAAAGCTGCTATTCTCTTATATAACCATGGTAGAATCATCAAATTCAGGAAAGTTAATACTGATATTTATTACTATCCAATATAAAATTTGTATTAAAATTTTGCCAGTTTTTCCAACATTGTCCTAAAAGAAAATAGGTTTTAACATGCATTCAAAACTAGAAATAATCCAACAGAATATCAGAATAAAATACGTTCCTTTAGAGATTAATATATATAGCTCTATGAAAATGAAATCACTGCTTACTCCTTGTTTCCTCATTTCTCTTTGGAACAGTAGAGGCTACACTACAGATTGTTATCAGACCCACATTTGGTAACCACTGGTGTAAACACTTACAGAGAAGATTAGATAAAGACATTTCAAATGAGTGTTCTAAAAAAAAGATAGAATTCAATCAAATGCATGAAAGAGTAAATGTCACATTTTGAATAATTATTACTATAAGATAAATATACAAATAAGTTTTTTTAATGTCTATTAATTCTAAACTAATACCAGTTAACTTTTTCTGATAGTTTTTAGATGCCTTTCTTAGAATGTCTTACCTACAATATTAGAATTTTGCTTCAACCTTCTTCTCAAAGTGCTCGAATGGTCAAAAGGTGAAAAATTACAGAGCAGTCTCTAGAAGAGAACCAGAAATAAATCAGAAAGATTGTTTGCCCTTTTACCAAGCCCTACTGTTGGATATATGTGGGACACTATGGCAGACAAGGTCAAAGAAAAGACAGCTAATAGTTTTGTCACTGAAGAATATTTTTGAATGGGCAAGACTTTCAAATTCAGAATGCTATAGCCCAGGAAGACAAAGACTAAAATCAGATATCATTAAAGTCTATAAAATTATGATATTGCTTGTCTACAGGTTCAGAAAAGAGGCAATTATTAAGGAAATCAAAGGAAGGATTGCTCTGGGAGTAAGCCTTAAGTGGTAATTAAAGCCAAAAATATAAATATGTATATTCAAAAAGAGTAGTGATATGTTTATAAATCTTAAATTCATCATTCATTGCAGAGTAAGCCTATGTGAAAACAAATTAGAAATGTCTCATTTATATGTATAACCTGTCCTCCCACAAAATATATTTTAATTGGATGAGCCATTGACCCAACTCAGTGTGATATTTGTATATTGTCAGTTTTTCATCAGAGTCCCTGATGTAGGTCCACTTAATATTGTGTCTATGCCATTGAGACTAGGCATATCCATTCATACATTAATGCATATGTACTCATAGTTAACGTATCCACACATTTTTAAAATATAACTTCCAATATTTCAAAATCAAACAGAAGACTTTGGGGCAAGAAAAAAATGTATGTATTACTTCTTCACTAATGGTCATGAGATAATAAACTTGAAATTTATATGAAAAGTACACATATACTTCAGAAATGTGAACCATTAATAGTCTTCTCCATATTGTTTCATTTCTTTCCCCCTTTAAAAATATTTTTGATGCCTCTTAGTATCACCAGTGATAGAATATATTGGGTTGTCAGAAAAGTCATGATGTATTTTTTGTATGTTTTTCATTGCAAAAATGCATCATGACTTTTCCAACAACCCAATATATTGTCCTTCATGGTTTCCTTTCTTGCTGACAGTTTAACAGTTCTACAAAATTAAACAAACACAAACCTTGTAGAATATTTTCAGTTAGAACAATTATGTAGGAATTCCTTTATTCTTACTTCAGTTTATTAAACCAAACCCAAACCAGGAAATTTAGGTTAACTGTAATAACTATGTACCATTAATATTTCACCTCTGAAATGCACTGCAGTGTATACGAAGGATGGAAGAGATGAAAAATGTACGTTCCTAAATCCAATCAAATACTAAGGTATTCAGTATTTTCTGTGAGATTTACAAAAGGTCTTTGGGTTTGGAAGATCTGTGGGATTGTCCTTTTTTAGTGACAGTTTGGTTTTATGTTTGTTGCTCAAGGAAACCCAATGGCACTGCACAGGTCCCATGACATAGTAAGCATTCAGAAAAGATTTCATTAAATGATTAATTCACTGTAGAAAGGGAGAAGTGTCTAAAAGGATTTCAATTCTATTTTAGTATGACTTCTAACAAATAAATGTACACCTCAAGTTCGAATTGCTCATTCATTTGACAACATGTCCCTGCCTAGTAACCATATCAGTGACTCAGAGATGCCCTTTTTCTGGTGGCCCACTAGCCTCACAAGACTGGGAAATGTGATTAGTTCAGTGAGTTGAATGTTGTTTCTGATGACAACTGCTTCTTTCTTAGACAGCGCAAGGATGAGCTAGAACAGAGAATGTCTGCTCTCCAGGAGAGCCGGAGAGAGCTAATGGTCCAGTTAGAAGGTCTCATGAAGCTACTTAAGGTAAGATGTTTCAAATAAGTAAATGTTTTCTAGACCTATAACTATGGCATTTGTAAAAATTATATGCACATAATGTGCAATGATTTTTATAATTAATATATGTGATTTCCCCCAAAATGTGGTTTCAAACTCAGATATAAGGTCTTTTCTTCAATGCATCAAATGATAGTAGTCAATTATAGGACTCATTCGTACCCATTTTCTGAAACCAGACTACTGAAGACCTTCATGGGAAACTTCTTGGCTTATTTCCAGTTTCATATGTCCTCGAAAATAATAAAACTGGATTTATTTAGAAATGTTTTACATTTAATAGCTTTCAGCCATTCTGACTAAATTGAACAGAGGCTAATGTCTAATTCATAAAATGAAGATAGAGCCATTAAATAACTTTGGTGGTAATGGTTGCATTACGAGTTGTGACTTTATTAATTTCAGTAAAATATTTTATCTTATCTGTGTGGCTTTAGCAGTAAGTCACACAACTTCTATGGGTCTCAAACACAAAGGGTAAATGGAAGTATCTCCTTACTTTTCTTCAGATAGAGTGTTTAACATGATGATCTATAGAAGTCCTCTATGGAGTGCTGTAATCTATTATTCTCATGTGGATTGGCATTCTTCCTTTCATAACTCCTTATGTCCTTCTTCAGTATACACTAAATCACATTTTAAGTCAAAAATAGACTAATTATGGCCACATGTCCACAGTCAGCCCAGTAGAAGTGTCAGTGCTGTGGGTCATCCTGCCTGATGTAAACAAACATAAAGCAGTATGGACTGAAACTGTGACATGTTAGAGGCAGGAACTAGAACCTCTAATAAGATGATGAAGGCACAGTCCCTGGAGCAGCTTATTGGTGAGACAAGATGTACTGACTTTCAGTCCATGGACCCCTCACATCCCTGGTACACCACCCTTTATTGTTCCTATATTGTTCCTCCTCTCTCTCTCTCTCCCCGCCCCCTTCCTCCTCCTTCTCCTTCTTGTCTCCTTTCTCTCCTCCTTCCTTCCTCCCTTCCTCCCTTCCTTCCTTCCTTCCTTTCCTCCGTCCCTCCCTTCCTTCCTTTTATTTAACAAATATGTATTGAAACCCAGTATGTCCCAGGCACTGCTGGAACTGTAACACTTCTTTCTTTTGTTTTCTTTACTTGTGTTTTCCTTAGTTGACTTTGCCTGCCATCAGTGTTGGGAATGCTTTATCTTTTCTGAAGAAAATTTATTTTTCAGAGTAGAATTGTAAAGCATAGAATACAGTTTTTGTTGTACTATATATATTAAGACAGAACTAGGTAATTAATAACCTGTTGCTGTTTCTCCTGTGATCTCATGTGATGATCCTGAAAAGATCTTTCTGCTTTCCTTTCCAAACATACCGAATGAAGAAGTTCGAGCCCATCTTTCCCTTCACTGAATGACAGCAAGCTTTGAAAATTACTTATATCCCCATAGATTCTATCGCCATAGCATTGGGATAGAAGTCTATTTACCACCAGACATCTTGGCATCAACCTAGCCTAACTGAGCAGTCTGTTTTATCAGGATGTACAAAGACCAGGACAGAGAAATTGTGTTGAAAGATGGTTGAACACAGGGAGGAAAGAGATGGGTCTATAGTTTCAAATACTTGAAAAGACGTAGAACTGCAGTCACTGAGGTAGAAGAGACCTGACCTGCCATCAAAGCTGTGTTGATGTTTCCCCGCCTTGCATTCCTTTACCCTGAATTGGAACATGCTCTTATTGGAACCCTGGGTAACCTAACTATTATCAATTCAATCTTTCTGTAGGAAGAAGAACTGAAGCAGGGAGTAAGTTATGTTCCCTACTGCAGGTCTTAACTAACAGTGGAGGGGCCTGCCATCCTGCTGTTTTTCTCATTGCTTTTGCCTCTAATGTATGTTCATGCTTCAGTTTGGAAAGAGAAAAAAAAATCATACTAATTTGCTTCCTTTTCAATGTAGTGCTTGAATTGAGATATATAAAATTTAGCATTTTTTATAACTATTACTACTGTCAGCATCAAAAGAAGAGCTATCACATCTCTGACAAGAGGGAACAAATTGTAATTTATTGGATGCTTTTTAGATCTCCAGGGGTCTACATTTCAAACTAGTTTCATGCTTTTCTAGGTTGTTGATCAGACCCTTCTCTTAATGGAAAGATGCCCACCACAGTCCTAAAGTTACACTAGGAAAACCCACAGCCTCAGAAGCTAACCTTGGCATCCCCTGACACTGTGAATGTCCAGTTCAGTTTCCATTATACTGAAAAGGTGTGGAACCTCTTTTTATAAAAATCAACCAATTACATCTCTTTTCAGTGTATAATTATTAAGCTCCAATTCCCCACTGCTAATCAAAATGTGCCCAATCTTATGAGAGAAAGACTGTACTCAGTAACTGTCACTTCCCATTGTGTAGTTCTTCCCAAGCAGAATCCCTACCGTTGGTTGACAATAATCTCAAAAGAAAAGGTAACTTTTAGTCTTTCTCTTATCACCAAGAACCTTTCTGTTCTGGGAGTTCACAAAGTCCTCATATATCTCTAGAAATAGGGACATTGTGACTCAACTACAGCCTAAAACTGAAGCCCTATATCTAACCCTGTGGTCAGGTTTAGAAGCCAGCAGAGGGAGCAGCATACTCAAAATAATAATAACAATAATAAAATGGAAGCAAAATAAAAGCAACTTTAATTTCAAGTGCATGTACCAAACTGTGTATGACAATATACCCCACCTGCTAGTATGATCAAAAAGTTTCTCATTATTTCTATGGATTCATTAGAACCACAGCCTGTCCAATTTCAACCTACCTTTTAATTCTTCTGTATTCTCTTTCCTATTATTCATTGTGTGTGTTTGTGTGTAACAAAGAATGTTTGCAAAATGCTGGACACATTTTTACCCTTTATTCCCATGGTCTGTAAAAAAGGAAAGTGTAAAACTAATCTGTAATATCAGACAATAAAGACAATGTATTACATTATTTTGTATTTTGTGAAAAAAATTACTTTACTAAAACTAAAGTCCAATTTGAATGAAAGACAGTGCCCCTGGGTGAAGGACACACATTGACAACCTGTATAATTGCCCATAAATGTATACATGGGGTATTGCTGTGTACTTCCAACACACTTAGATCATGGTAGAGAAAAATGCCTTGCTGCAGTGCTTCTATTTGCAAACGGCCTCTTTTCTGTCTCTTACTTAGCATGTGCATCGAAAAAGGAAAGAAGGCTCCAATATAACCTTCCTCCTCCTAGTGGAGAGAGTAGGTAATCATCCTGTAATCAGTCAGCCTTTGCTTTATCCATTTCCTTCGGAGACTCCTTCTCTACCATTTCCCAGGCAAGACATTCTTGAAAGGCTCAGGGGACCAGGAAGTTCATAAACTAATGGACTCATAGAGCCAGGAAGTTCATAAACAGATGCATGCAGACAGCCAAACCCTGGCAGTGCCCGTAAGGACATTACTGCCTCCTTTCCTTCCAGCTCCTCCCACTGAGCACTTGACAGCTGCTGCATCTTGGAAAGTCAGCCAGCAGTCGTCGGTACTGCTGCGTAGATACTTAGGGCCATTACTGGCAACACCCAGATAGCAGCAATGCATTGTCTGGATGGAGGTAGAGCGTGCCCTTTCCATTTGCTTTTCTATGCAAGCCTCTTTTCAAAAAGGACCCGAGGCAGCTTACAACAAAAAAGATAAACAATGACTTCATAAAACAGATCTATCAAACACTAAAGAAAAGAAAATGCAAATATGCTAATTATAAGGGACAGGAGCGTTACTCTGAGGTTCCTGGCAATGAGGCAAAAAAAGGAAAACATAATTGGTGGTTTTATCACAACAGAAATGCTAGGTCTCGAGGGGACCAAAATTTTGGTTGGCATAAAATATAAAAAGCAAGACTTCACTCAGAGCTTTATAGAAGGGGTATTGAAAAACAAAATGCACAAATGCAGTCATAGCTTCCATATGGCTGATTCTTATACGTACCTTCAGTCAAAACTAAAGACAGAACCCCATATGTCCCAATCTTGTAAATACAGTTCTACAAGGAAATAAACAAATGCCACCCAAATATATAGACTTCTCAAATATATAGACTTCTCATGGTATCACATGATCTAAGGAAAGAATTTAGAGGTCTTAGTCTGGCATCTGCTTCTAAATTCTGTTTTTATTTATAAGCCTTTCCCCTTTGGGGACATTCTCTTTGTAAAATCAGATTTAAGACACTGCACACAACAAATTGTGCTTGGTTTAATAACTTCTACTTGCTTTATCCTAAGTCTGTGTGGTTCGATGTATTTTATTATACTGGTATATATAATTTCTACTTATACTGTTTCTTGTTAGAGGTAATGCATGAATTTATTCCCCTTGAGGAGAGAACATGAATTTTTTTTAATAGTGCCTGTAATATAATACAATGATTATGATATCATAAGCAATAAATTTTTTTTACAAAACTGGAATCGAAATTATCCTACCCTCTTTCTTCTTTGTGTATTCTTAAGATTTATTGAAGGAACCATAAAAAGAACACTCATAAAAAGTTTAATAATGAAGGCGGCTGGGGTATAATTGCAGTGACAGTATGTTCCAGAGTTTCTGGTATACTTCCAGTTCTGAATATTATGTCCCCATCTAAAATCAAGCAGCCTGACTTTGAGTTCACAAAGTAAGATGTTAATAATAACGTCTTAGGAACGTTACCGTAGTTGGACCTGAATTATAGTGGTCCCAGCTCTTCTCTCACAGCCTAAGATCTTGAGTCAGTCAGTTAACCTCTTGGTAATTTATTTCAAACAGACTGAGAATACATGGCTCACCAGGTTGTTATTTAAAAAGATAATGAATGTACAAGCATTTGGGAAAATACCACATGCGTTTCAGATATAAGTATGAACCTATGTGTATACACATACACACAGGTGTATGTAAACATTCTAATTTGACCCATATTTTACACACACACATATACTCATGCAT